AAGTCAAACCTGTCACGGTTTCTGAATTTAAAAGCTTTTTTGGGCCTAACCCTTGACATGGCCCCCCCTTACAAAGAATGAATTGTGCTCATATTGGTCCACAGACCCGATCATCATATGTCTGTGTTTCTGCTGCAATGGCCCCCGATGTCCAGACTACATGGAGAGCAGTGGTAAGATAGTGGGGACTTGTTGTCACCTTGTTGAATTATGGGGTAACCATTTGTACGATGGACAACCTTTATGCTAGCATGCAACTATTTTTTAGACATTTGTTCCTTCAAGAAATTGGATGCTATGGCACCATGCGATCTAATCACAAAGGCTTTTCCCAGTGCTTGGTAACACCCCACTTAGAGAGGGTAAGAATTCTGCTTTTGAAATGAAGAACTACTCGAGTAAAAATGGAAGGACAAATGTGATGTATTTATTCTGTCTTCCATTCAGGACACAATGGTCCAAATTTACATGGCCTCTGGTGTTGTTGAAAGGCCTATCTGTGTCAGCATCAGAATACACAGATCAATCAGCAGCTGACCTGGGTGTTCCTGCAAAGCAAATAGTTAAAACAATAACACAGTAACAATATAACATTATTAAAAAATATATATATGTATTTTTCCTGACTACCTATGATCTTTAGAGACCCGTCCTGTGCTGAATTGTGTGGACCCCTACACTGTGCCATGCTGTACCCTGGAGTTCCCCCCTTATTCCATGTTTACCACAGACCATCATCATTTTTGGGATGACTTTTGTGTTGTGGTAGGTGGGAGGACATCAGGAAAATGCCTCTCATGAAGCCGGGCTAACTGCATCTGGATTTGGGCTTTGGGCCGCAGTGCCTTCTGGATACTAAAAGGCCGTGATGATCTCTTCCTGATATTTTAGGAAGGATCCAGTTCTTCCAGTAGCTTTGTAAATAACAAAAGCATTGTATAAGAGCAGTGGTGGGCAAACTTTTGACTTGAGGGCCGCAATGGGTTCATATATTGGACCCGGGGGCCGGACCAAGAGTAGATGAATGATGTGTATGTGTCATCCATAGTAAGTATAAGTAATATTCCCCCATAGTAAGCATAGTAATTAATCCCCATATAGTAATTCATCCCCCCTATAGTAATTCATTCCCCATATAGTAATTCATCCCCCTATAGTAATTAATTCCCCATATAGTAATTCATTCCCCATAATAGTAATTCATCCCCCGTATAGTAATTCATCCCCATAAATTACATTCATCCCCATAAGTAATTCATCCCCCATATAGTAATTCATCCCCCATATAGTAATTCATCCCCCATAGTAATTCATCCCCCATAGTAGTTCATCCCCCATATAGTAATTCATCCCCATATAGTAATTCATCCCCCATAGTAATTCATCCCCCATATAGTAATTCATCCCCCCTATAGTAATTCATCCCCCCATATAGTAATTCATTCCCCATATTAATTCATCCCCATATTAAGTCCCCAAGTCCCCCGTGTCAATTCACTTACCTTTGCTCCGTGCGTTCCTCTCGGCGTGTTCCCCATTTCCGTGTAGCATGAAAATCTGTCTCACTCAGCATGCCGCTGGTTAAATACCTTGGAGTGTCGACTTTCCAAAAAAGGGTCATTTAGGGGTGTTTTGTACTATTGGGGCATTTTAGAGTCTCCAAAACTGTGATAAGTATTCAGGACATCCAATGAATAATTAATGCCCCTTGAAAGCCTGAAGGTGCTGATTGGATTTTGGGCCTGTACGTGGATAGGCTGTACTTGTTTGGGGCTGTAATTACACATATACCCATGGCATGTGTGAGAAATATCTCATTAAAGTGACAACTTTGTGTAAAGAAAAATAAAATTTTTGTCATATCCCAAATACTTGTGGCAAAAAATAAAATCTTCCATGGATTCAACATGCCTCCCAGAAAATACCTCAGACTGTCTACTTTCCAAAAATGAGGTAATTTAGAAACATAGAAAAGTGAAGGCAGAAAAAACTGTGTGGTCCACCGAGTTCTTTTGGGGGGGAGGTGGGTGGGGGTTTGTTTGGTAACGTTTTGTCTGAGTATAGAGCTATGCTTATCCCAAGCATGTTTGAAGCTATTTACTGCTGACTGGCTCACTACCTCTGCTGGAAGTTTACTCCAAGCATCATCTACTCTTGTGTGTACTGTCCTGGCATTTTAGCACCTCAAGAAATGTGATAGGCAGTAGGAAAGTCAGAGCTGCTTAAAAGCTGCGTAGATTCTAGTATATATCCCGTAGTTTGTAGACTCTATAACTTTCACACACAACAATTAATATACACTTACTGGGGATTGTTTTCCAAAGACAAGTAGTGGAATACATTTTGGCCTAAATTTACAAAGAAATGAGATTTGATCAGATATTTTTAATAACAGAAAGTAGAAAATATAGTTTTTTTTTTAATGTTGGTCTTTTTTCATTTATATGTAGCACTACCCCCTCAAGAGTCGCTGAGTATTTTGGGTTCCCTGTTCACTTCTGAGCCCTGGCTGGTGCACAACCCCTGCTGACACCATTGTAATACCTTGGTCAGGTGTCCCCCCTGGCTATAACACACAATAATCACATAGCATTGAATGAATAGTAAATCAGTCTGTATTAGAGTCAGATTAGCAGCAATATACACACAAAGAATCGACTGATGTGAGAAACTATGAACCGTTCAGGAGAAATAAACAACATATTACAGCACAATACCACGTTAAATAGACCAAATTGTCCTCCAGGACTCAGAGTTTAATTGTTTCTCTCCTACCCAGAGAACGTTCCCCAAACAGGCAGAAAAGGGGAGATTAGGAATGTTAGGCTCGCTCCCTTGTGGGCTCCCAGTAAACAGAGCCAGTGCTTAACTCTCTGAGGGTTTCAACAAGCAGAAAGTCCCATATAAACCCCATCACCCAATGCAGGAAAGACTCTTCTGCTGGCTTTGGTGGAGCTCTTTACGTTGGTGTACAGTGGAGGGGTCATCCCTTTTCTTCATGAGAAAATGTCCCTTCCCTGGTGATGAGGACACAGCAAGCAGAGTTCCCCTTCAATAAAGGCAGCAATCTAGGAGTTTACTTGGGTATGGTGGTTACTCAAACTGAGGAGGGTGAGAGCAGACTTCAGCAGAAGTATGTCCCTTTAGTGTGAGACTTGGCTGGTGGAACTTTGTGTAGAACAGGCCGGAGGTAATATGATTTTACTTTTTTTTCCAGTTCCTGCCAATCAGGCAACAGAATCTATTAGGGCTGATATACTGTGTGTGATACTTCAATGGGCTTCTGGTGTAGATAGGCCGCAGCACTGATTGGGCTACAGAGACTGTGTCTCTATGTGACAGTCTGTATTGTAAGAATCCTGGACTTAGTAACCGGCAACAACAACTATGGAACCTGTATCACATGGTGGTGTGGTGTGGGTTAGGAACTCTCTCACCAGTCCTTCAAAGTAGTGGTGTGAAATGATGTCCTTGTTGCTGGGGGGCCCCTTTTCTGGCTGTCTTCCCATGGAGATAGTGGTGCCAATGCAGATGACCCGATCCACTACATGCAGGATTGACTATCCTGCCTCTCAGTACAATCAACAATCTGGAAATTCCCTTCTCCATCCTCTGATTCAGTCTGATCCAGCCTGAGGCCTCCTGGATCGGCACTCTGTTCTCACACGCACCCTGCCTCTCTTCTCCTCTCCTCCTGGGCTTTTCTCCTTTTATACGCTCCAGCCCCTTTACTTACTGACTTGGGATCTGTAGTTCTATGTCAGCTGAACTGAATGAAGAAATCCTGCTTGCAGCATACAAGTCCCAGCATTCTCAGCGTTGCTGTACAATTTCCGGTGTCAGCTGAACTGCAGAGCACAGCCATCTTGTGGCCATTTAACAATCTGCAATTAGTAACAATGCAGTGTGTTACATACATAAAAAACCCCCAGTGGTGATCAAATACCACCAAAAGAAAGCTTCATTTGTGTGAAAAATTATATAAATTTAATTTGGGTTCAGTGTTGCAAGACCGAGCAATTTGCCGTTAAAGTAGTGCAGTGCTGAACAGCAAAATATAACCTGGTCATGAAGGGGTAATACCTTCTGGAGGTCAAGTGGTTAAACTGTGTGTTAGGTTCTTTACTGTTAGAGCGGTAAGGATGTGGAACTCCCTTCCACAGTTGGTGTGTCAGCGGGGAGTGTAGATACATTCACAAACCTTTTAGATGTGTTTCTTAGGGAACACAATGTAAAGGGATATGGAAGAGGATGGTGCCATAGACACGCAGATACACACAATGCGGCTGAACTGGAGGGACGGGTGTCTTTAGTCAACCTTACCGACTATGTAACCATTTATCATTCCTTGTCTGCAGATCTAAAACTCATCAAACCACCAGTTCAGAGACAAAACAAACCCAACAGAGAAAAGGGGATTTCTGATCCGGCAGACCAAGAGAGTTCTGGGGTCTAAACACTAAACAGTCTAAAGTAAACGTGTTCCCGTGGGGGCGGTAGTTCTTAAGGTATAACTAAAGGTAAAACTTTTTTTTTTTAGGTTTGGATTAGAGAGGAATTAGAGCATCTGTCAGTTTTTATTGCGGTTTGTGCCCCCATTTGTCCCGGTGACCATTATAACCAAGAGTGAAAGAGCCCCAAATTTTGGGTTGACATCAGAACACTAATAGAGGGGTAAATCGTCCAATGGGAAAACTAGTTCTGGTGACACCCCAGAATTCCCTCACTTTGGGGGGATTTCCTCTCACTTCTTGTTTTGGCTTATGAGACAGGAAGTGAAGGGAAATCTCCCCAATGGGACACAGATGGCAAAAACACCTGACAGAGGTTATAACCCTCCCTTACTCTATCCAAAATGAAACAAGTGGTTTGTCTTTAGTTACACTTTAAATGTCCAGCAACCCTCCTATTCCCCCCTCACATCCACATCCTATTATTGTGTGACCAATACCATCCAAATCATTCTTACTTTCATTTCCCAAAGTTATCCGTCTACAAGGAGACCTGTATAGATCACATGATGGCACCAATGAGGATGGAGGAGGACCGGAGTCACATGACTGAGAAGATACTAAACCTCACCCTGGAGATCATCTACCTGCTGACCGGAGAGGTGAGGAGGATTCTGGGAGGTCACATGACATCACTCTCATCTCTATTAATAAAACACAGACCTGACGGAGAGGTGAGGACCGGAGAGGTGAGGAGAGTGAGGAGGATTCTGGGAGGTCACATGACATCATCACTCTTATCTCTATTAATAAAACACAGACCTGACCGGAGAGGTGAGGAGGATTCTGGGAGTCTAACATGATATTCCTATTGGTTCCTCAATACAGAGATTTCCTCTTCTGAAGTCAGGTGATCATATGACCATCACAGTGCCTCCATGTGACTCCCTAAACCCTGAGAGACACAACATGCAGAAGATTCTAGAAGTCACCAAGAAGATGATGGAGCTGCTGACAGGAGAGGTGAGCGGTGCCGGGAATTCTGGGACATTCTCCAGTAACAGACAAGGATGTGTCTGGATGGTGACTGTATCATTGTGTGTGTGTCAGGTTCCTATAAGGTGTCAGGGTGTCACTGTCTATTTCTCCATGGAGGAGTGGGAGTATTTAGAAGGACACAAGGATCTCTACAAGGACGTCATGATGGACAATCAGCCGCCCCTCACATCACCGGGGTAAGAGGAGACTTTATTGTAAAGGAGAGAGCAGTACGGAGGATCCACCTAGATCCCCCATCATCTGATAAACACATAGAAACAATGGATTCAGTCAGTGTGTGTGTTTCCTACAGATGGATCCAGTC